TTCGGTTAGTGCAATGAAAATTATCATTATTTTGTCGCTACCTGCAGTCTAATTGGTGATTATTAAAATATCAATTATGGTTATATTTATTTATTTATATTATGATAATGACGAGTGTATTAATGAAGTTTTTGTTCAGGGTCCTGCCCAGTGACCAAATGTCAAATCAGTACAAACTACAAACACTAGTCTTCAATAAGAACCTTTTTAAAAAACTAGTGGCTTCCTGACCACTGCCTAAGACTATATTAAAAAAATTAAGTGGATACCTAAGTATAATTTGATATAAATAAAAAAAACATATTTTTACATAGTATAAAAATAAAACGCATAATGTTACTTCACGAAATACAACCGATATTGAGAAAGAAAATTGCCAAAACATGTTGAAGAGCAATACAATTTTTTTTTAATTACACTATATTTTACCTTACTTTATTTTAACTAATTTAATTTCTATGTACTCCGTTCTCCAGATTTATGTGAGTCCTGAATATAAAATATATTACAACTAACCAATTCCTAATTTTATTGATTATACAATACGTAAAGATTATTTAATTACTTCTGATACTTAACTATACTCTATTCTAAATAAGAGCGGCCTAGTTGTGCGCATGGGCGTGGCAGCGCCTGACGCGTTGCCGTAGTGGGGACGGCATCTGGCCAATTGACCATATGTCTGACCGCCGCCAAACGAAAAATGGTCACCACCGACTCCCGATCTTATTTGGAATAGAGTATAGAGGCTAATTTATTATTTTATCTTCAAGTGTTAGGTGGTCACTCATTGAGATACATTTGACGCGGTTAGATTTTGTAATTTATTTAATTGAGAAATAAAAAAATTCAACATCAGTTTTTTTAATTGCTATTTATTATTTTTTTTTAGCCACTGTTGTAACACTAGATGAAAAAAAATATCAAAGAGAACTAGTTAATAACTGTTTAAGTTTTTTCTTCATCTAAAAATTATCATCAGCTTGTTATAATTTTCTAAACAATTCAAGATATTCATACACAAGAGAAAAATAAAAAAAAAATAAGAAAATAGGTGAAAATTAGGTAATTATATAATAATAAAAAAGATGGAATGTTTCCAATTCCTGAATAAAGTTAACATAAAATTCAGCATATTTTTAAATGAAAATGTTAATAACCGAATACATGTAAAAAAGGCTTAAAGTTCTCCACTATTAGCTACAACAACTTTCTTTTTGGTCTCTCCTGTATCAGTTCCATAACTCTCTAATTTTTTTACGACATCCATACCCTCAGTAACAGATCCAAAAACCACATGTTTACCGTCTAGCCATGTAGTCTTGACTGTAGTGATGAAAAATTGACTACCATTGGTATTTGGACCAGCATTAGCCATTGATAAAATACCTATGAAAACACAATTGTATATTAGCTTATTGACTCATAGTAAATTAATCAATTTAAATTCATACCGGGTCCAGTATGTCTAAGGGTAAAGTTTTCATCACCAAACTTGGCACCATAAATGGATTTGCCTCCAGTGCCATTATGATTGGTAAAGTCACCTCCTTGGCACATGAAGTTAGGGATGACACGGTGGAAAACACTACCTTTGTAACCGTAACCTTTTTCTCCAGTACACAAGGCACGGAAATTTTCAGCAGTTTTTGGCACAACGTCTTTTCGTAACTATGGGACAAAAAATTAATTTAATAAAATCTAGAACAAGATATTAATTCAAATGCTTATTAAATTGACAATAGATATTTTTTTAAAATAGGTAATAATAATACTTAAAAAGGTGAACAAGTGGGCCCTGCTGTACAGTAGTTGTCATGGATGTTTTATATTTGAATCCAATGATAAATCATTAAATACGAAAAACTATTCTGGGTGGATACTAGCTAAGTGTATAAATAATCAAATTTATTAGTTTTAAAAAAAATTAATAAAATCTAAAATATCTCATACAATAACTTTCCGATGAACTTTATTTTTTATAGAAGTAGAAAAACTTGTTGAGAATCTTCTATTCAAATTTATAATGTTAACTATGAGAAGAAAAACTTTAAATGAATTTCAAACCAAAAAAACATTTTCATCAATTTTATCATGGCTGTAAATAACAAAAAAAATTCAAAATAGTTTGAACATTTTATCATGTTTGGTCGTTTTAACGTTTGGTAAAAATATCAAGTGTCTAGCGTTATTTGTTTTTGAATTACGACAAAATATAAAAAAAATAGATATATATAAATTCATTAATTTATTTACCGGTGAAAATCCAATATCGTAAAAATTTTAAATTCAACACTAATTATAATAAATTAATGTAACATTTTGGTAAATTTTTTTTTGTTTAAAATAGAAAAAATTGTTAGGAATCTTCTATTAAAATATCTCATGTAAGCTATGAAAAGAAAAGTTTTTTTGAATTATGAATTTCTAAAGGCGGGATCCCACAACTCGTGTATTTGACGAAGATCCACGAATACTCGAATCTGCAAGTTACCGACAATCGACGGGAAGGTGGCGAATAACGAATACCGAATATTCGTACAGTATCCACAAACACCAAATATTCGTCAAATAGACGAGTCGTGGGATCCGGCTTTAATTGAAAAATAGTATCGAAAATTTGAACTTTATATCCACATAAAAAATAATCGTGTGTATGATATTAAAGATACATTTAATATTTTTGAACTTAGATTAATGAAATTTATAAAGAATTTGCATTTAGTACATTTATAAATTTGCGGAAAATTTCAAGTAACGTGTATTTGTTTTTGCGTTAAACTAAAAAAATAGAATCGATTTTTTCAAAAATTGGTTTTGAGTAAAAATTACCACTTTTTTGTTTTTCCAGACGCTTTTTACAACTACCAGGAAATTTCTATTTAAACCTCAAGAAAAAATGCTGATGTTGAAAATCAGAGAATTTAACTCCCCAAAATGATGAGAGAAAATAAAACATGCATCATGATAAATACAATACTCTCAGATTCGCTCAGATTCCAAAAAAATAAAAACAAAATAAGAAGTATCACCACTGTCCGGCTTCTTCTATTGAGCAATTCAGTTGGGTATATAAAATATATAATATAATATATTCACTCGTCATCTATTCTTATTGGACCCTAGGGTAGATATTGTAATATTGTAAACGTCTAAAAAATAAAAAAGGAAGTTGTAAGTGCAATACTATTCTTGTTAAAACAAAATTCTCCAGTCAATTTAATCTATTGGTACGTCAATATTTTTGAGACCGTGTATTTCTTTTTTCGTTTTTGCCACATTGTACATTATATTATATAGGTTATCTCGTGATGAAGTGATATATAAATATTGAATTGTATAAAAGGTGTTTGAAAAAAGGATAGCCTCCTACCGCTTCTTAACCAGTAGGCAAAGATATTAAGATCTCAATAATATTATTCTCAATTGAAAAATGTATATATTATTATACATTTAGACGACGTAGCCCACGTCATATTGTGAACACGCCTTGGTTATATTTGCATTGGGTATTTCTCGGAATTAATGTGTAATGACTATTATAACGGTACTATGGCGGGAGCTCCGTAGGGCCATCTAAATAAGCAATAAACTCCCAACAAAACTTCGTCGAACACCTGTGAGATGTGAGTCACATCAAGTAATAATGTGGAAATGTGGTAGGGAGAAGGTCTTTTTTCATTTTTGTCATGTTAACATGTTGTAGTGCTTGTACAGTTGTACGTACAATACTACAATATGCACCTCATAAGGGCATGAACTAGGAACGGAGCGCAATTATGACGATAGTCTGTGCAGAGCGTGCGAGGGCCTGGTCATCTACATTAGTATCGATTTAACCTTAAAACGTGCGCTGTAGCTAATATGCAGAACATTTGGAAGAAAAATTTCATAAAAAAATTGAATTTTTTAAGAGGGAAAACCCATTATAATTATATGTCCGGGGGGGGGGGCACAACAGCAAAAGAATGACCATTTTTGTGAAGGCGTTGAAAAATGGAAATATTGGGTACTTTTGGCAATGGGTCAATAAACATCATATATATAGAAGAGGTACGAATTTTATACACGTCATAGCAACGAATGTCGTAGAGCATAGGCGATTTACGACGGTCGGCTCCTCAGCATTGCTCTCCTCAGTCTCCTACTCTCCTCCCAGCAAACAATGTCAGAACACTCAAATGCCTATACATTTCCCGCCCGTGGATGATAACATTGATTAATATAATACTGTTGACTTTGTCGTGCACCGGTGCGGAGCAACGAGCAACTTACTTCGATGACGATCCTGCCGGCCGGTTGTCCGTCGACGGTCATGTCGAAAAACACTTTCGGGTTGGCCATTGCGCGGGTGGGCGGTTGAATTGTCGGTACTGAAGAGGCGTCGTCGAAATAGCGACCGAAGGCGCTGGCGAGAACAAGACGTTGCTGCGGGACTGAGAACGTTGAGCGTGCGACTAATCATTAAAGTTTAAAAGCGGCAGTGCGGGAGGCGGGACGATCGGGAGTCGTGACCGGCGGTCCAAAAATCGTCGTCACAGTATCGATATTGTTGACGTTACGATAGTTGCAGCAGTGGTGGTATGGACCACGGACTAAGATATACAGGACTGGAAACGACGGCGTTATCAATGGAACTAATGTACAACGCTAGTTGGTACAACGTCGATCTTAACGCCATCTAGGTACGTAAGTGCATTACATAATAATAATTTAATAATTAATTGTTAAATTATTAAATTGTAATTATTATTTATGATGCCGACTACCTACTACCTAGTATATAAAAAAGAAATGTATTATATAATGTTGAGTTAAGAATTAAGATCTAAAATTTACTTGTATAGTTGAATTACCTATATACAATATTATTATACCTTAATATTGACAAGTAGGTAGTGTATGAGATTGAGAGCAAATTTCAATAAAACTTTCATCTTACAAGCAGCACAGAATATTAGAGTTAATACATTATATTATTTTTACATATTTGCATTTTAGTGTTTCAATTTATTGATGTAATAACTAAAAACTATAGTATGACATACCTGTTGATAATTGATTTGCAATAACAATAATTGTTGTGAATATTTAATATTCTATTTTGAAGTTCATACCTAAAAGTACCTATACTTACTTCGAAATTCAAATACTGTGCAGATATTTGTGTAGGTATGCATAAAAAAATAACAACAATAAATTAAATTTATAAAAACAAGAATTAAAGATATAATATGTATAAGGTACTCAAGTAATGACTAATTTAGCAGATTTTTTCTTCTTCAAATTCATTTTGTTTTGATTTTTATTCTCCATGTTTGAAAACTGTCTCATCCTTGTTGTTATGTAATACCTGACGATGAACATGAGTATTTCAGTCTTATGTTCATCACATGGAAATGTTAGTAAATTGTTATTATTTTCTAAAAAATCATCAATTGTATCCTGAAATACACTAGGCATACTACAATACTTAGAGAAAGAATTTTCTATTGCTGTTATAATATTATGAAAATGTTCATTTGGGTGAATCAGTTTTCCTCTTGATTTCAAATTAGTAAAAGCTGCTTCAGATTTACTTGAGTAAACTTTTCCTAAAAATATAAACTTATGTTATAATTTAATTAAAAATGTATACCTTTTTGGGTAGAATATAAATTACCTTTAATTGCATTTATACATACATGACAATCTGTATGTTTTAATATATGCCGACACACAAAACCACTAATATAATAAATAACACAATCTGTAACTTCTGCTTTGTTAGGAGTGCAATAGTTATGAATATCGCTTTCAAAAATGTCTTCTGTTTCCCATTTACCTTCTTTTACAATTATATCCAACTTTTCTTGTAGTTTTAAAAGTTTATCCCCTTCAACTAATTTGTCATCATTGACAAATATACTTTTTAATTCATTTATTGTTATTTTTGGTGTATTTTTATCAAGAACTTTGCAATTGCCTGTTTTTGGAGGCTTTAATATTGAATAAATAGATAACATTTTATATATTTGTAAGAATGTTGGGGTCGTAGGATGATCGTTTGGACCAGTGGCTTGCCGCGACATTCCAAAAAATTGCTATACAAGTAAATTAATTTTATATTATAAAATAGGTAGGTACTACTAATAATTATACTAGAACATTTAAATTAATTTTAAGTTCACTTACTTCCAATCGATCTTGATTCATTTTAGATGACAACACATAACTATAACCACAATCTTTCAACAAATATTTAGATAATTCTATGGTAGATTTTATAGTAACCCTCAAGCCATCAGACGTATTTTTTGTGAGATATTCATCTTCTGATATAAGTTTATTCTTCACACAATTTTCCCAAGAATTGAGCCAAGCATAAGTCTCTTCTAAAACCTAAAATAATAATCATTGTAAATATTTTACATATTTAAATTCAATCTTATTTAAAACAAACATCAAAATCATGGCTGTTATTTCGTATTCCCTCAGCTGGATACTTGCGATTCAGTGTGTCAAATGTTCTATTAAAAATATCTACAAATTTCTGTGTTTCACTGCTGTTTTTTAATGACTCTACCTTCTCATGATCTCTATAAAACTCAATGCCTTTGGCCATTGAATCGCTTAAAACCTAAAATGAATTAAAAAATAAATACTAAATATATTCAAATTTGAATTACATAAATATTTTTGTCACTATTAGTTATTACTTGGGTGGCTAATTTAACACTCATTTTTGAAAAGTTATCTACAAATAAATGTCTTTTTGTAATTTTAGGACAAATTTTAGTTGGAGCCGTAGAACTTCTTTTATTATCATTTTCAAATACATCAATAAAATGACTCCACCTTACAAACGGTTTTTGAGGAGATATCTATTAAAAAAAAAAATTATGTATTATTATTCAAATCTTTTTAAAATTTTAAAAACAACTCACTCTCAATGATTTTTTGTTAAGCAATCGGTTTCTCACATTCTTTATCAAATGTGGTGCATCCGAAAACATGAATATTTGTCTGGAATCATCTAAAGGATGAATAATAGAATTTTGCACACAGTCCATTGAACCAGATATTCCTAATTCTAACCATAATTTCCTATTTGTTGAGGCACCATCAGAAACAATACCATCAATTTTTGCTCCAGAGTTTTCAAGGATAGAAATAGCCTTTATTACCAACTGAGCAAGAACCATACCTAAAGAATAATAAGATTAATTAAAAAAAAAATATTTGAAAAAATGTATTTAAAAACTCACATAAATGCATACAGAACACAACCACATAAATAGAACTTAGAAGAATAGAACCTTTTTTTGTTTGTTTAGCTATTGGCAATAAAAACTGTGAATTATTAAAATATAGGCTAAACACACAAACATATCAGTAATAAACTAAGACAAATATTATAAGCACTACTAAATATAAGGAAAACAAGTAAAACATTAATTAATTATCACCACAAATTAAATCAAACTAAACATGTACCATTCAATTATTAACATACAACAATAAAAAACACAGAGTAAACCAGTGAATAAGATATTTGACAGAGTATATCTTAGTCTTTGATTGGAACAAACAAATAAACCTTTCACGGGTCCTCTGGAAGCAAATACAGCTATCGGTTGGGAAAAATTAGTACATAAACTTTGAAACATAAAGACGAGGCCATGGTTTGCTTTTAATCCAGTGCTTTCCATATCTTCCCCAAAATCTTCTAATCCAATATAGGTTAACGATTTAGAATCTACGTCAATACTCTCTCGTAATATAATTTCATCGTAGATAAGCATTCCATGTCGCTGTTGTGGATTTAACATTGTTAGTTTCTTTTTTAGAAGTTGAAAAAATTTCTCATCAAAACCACATTTTGTTTTTATAAGAGAAAGATATTTCCTAACTGTTCGTGTACACGGTAATGGCAATATATCTTGCTCTCTCAAAAAGGTGTAGGTAGATGGAGATCTAAGAATATATTATTTTATAAGTCACATTTTATTATATTTATAATTAGTAAAAGTAGGTATAATAATATATTTTAGTTCTTACCGGATTTTCAATAAAACACATAATAAAATCCAATCTTCTGTATACCTTCTACTTTTGGGATTATCTACCTTACTTGTAGTAATTATTTCATTAATAATCGTTTTTTGAGATTCACTTAACTTATTCAGAACATTGCTAACAGCTGAGTCACTCATTTCTCTGGTTCTTTTGTGAATATTGTTCAATTGAGTATTTAATTTGTTTATACTTGTCTGCAATCTAAACAATTTTATAAGGTATAACTTATAAGTACTCATAAAATATTGACATACAATATATTATTTATTTATATATACATATATTTAGTTTATTATTTGTATCAAGTATTTATTTATTCTTTATAGATACATTCAAAATTCCATAATGACCTGATGAGAGCAATAAACAATCTTATAATTACCTTGAATTTGATTTCAGTAGTTTCTTTTTTACTTTTAAGATATTCAAATATTTTTCTCTACTATTAGGAGTTAGAAAGGGTCCTATTTTTTTCTTTTTTGCTTCCAAAGTTCTTTTTTTATATCCTCTAAATGATGAAAATAAACGTTCACAAAATGTACACCTTTTTCCAGATTTAATTATTATTGCACATTCTATATGACGCCATAAATTGTTGAAACCTAATGATGCAGTTTTAACTCTTATACCTAAGGCAAAAAATAGAATAGATTTATTTTTTTTAAATTTCCTATTGAATTACAAAATAAATTTAATAAGTAGGTACCATTACCAGGAAAATTTGATGCATTGGGACCACCATAGCATATAACTTTTTTATTAAAGTTTTCAATTAACTTTTCAAAATCTTTTATGATAAGTGGAAATGTTAATTTTGTGTCAAGACCAATGTCATCATATTTTATTTCATAATTGTTCAAAATATAAAATCCAATTTCAAGTTCTGAAGTGATTGTTATTTGTTTATCAATGACACTTATAAGTTTTTGAATATTATTGTTTGTATGTTGTACTGAATAAAATGTCACAGCTTTCCCACTTCTAAAAGATGACCAACCAACTGGTAACTTAATATTTGTATAGGTAGTAAATACATCATAAAAATTATTAAGTACTGCACTTTCATTGTTATCCTGATCTACATATGTATCTTTCTATAAAATTAAATATAGCAAATAAGTTAGAATGGCTGTAAATTCTAATAGGTAATATAATAACTAAAAACACTATTCACCACATCAGCAATACTGGATAACTGTTTTGGTGAATTATCTTTCCATAATAACTCTCTCTTGCAAGTTTGTTTGTGTTGTTTGTCATTCGGAAGCAACTAAAATATATACATACCTAGTTAATAAAATATATGTAAAAATAACAATTACCTTCTATCTATTTGAAGAATACTTTACCTGTTCAATATTATTAAAGATTTCATTTTGTGAATGACATTCAAACAAACTCTCAAAAATTGATGGAATGGCACCTTTTTTTAAAGAACATATTTTACGTTGACCAATTTCATTAGTCTGTAATTCATTATATTATAAGAGTAGTTCATAATTTATTTTGGTAGTATCGGTTCACTTGCACTTTTTAGTGTTTTTAATACTTAAATACTTCTCTTGGTTTAATAGTAGGTATATATTAAGTATGAAAAATATTTGAGTAGTTTGAGTAATATTTTAAATACTTTTAAAAATTATCTTTACAACACTACAAATTGCTAAGTTACATACTGACTACAATTAATACCTAGTAACTTGATTGTAAAATAGATCATAAATTGCATAAATATAAAATTTAACATACATTTAAATCTCCTGGATAGTTGTTATATACACTTATTAAATCTGCAGCTGAAAAATGATTTTGACAAACATAATGAGCAATGGAACGTTTACCATTAGCTTTGGAGACAGCTTCGTTCCATGCTGTTAAAATATTAATTTCTTTTGGTGCTTTGAATAATGTACATTTAATTTTGTTTTTCAAAATATGGCATTGATCTACACTACACCGCCTAGGCATTTTGGTAATTTATCTTAAATAATAAATAAATGTAATGTACTAGGTATTTAAATATTGGTAATAAAAAAGTACAACATATATATTATTATCATAAAATAATAAATATATTATAATATAATAGTACTGATAATATTTAAAGCTGATGAATTTTAGATAGGATTCACAGAATAGACTAAAATAATCTTTTATGTATGGTCAATACTTGCTCAGTACCTATTCTGTACTTAATTTAATAACATATACATACAAATAAAGTATAATATATCTTAGATTAAGTTGTTTAGTATAAAATATATTATACACATTCAAGAAACAAAATTAGATACAAGATGTGTATAACAAGTCTAAAGTTTATTATATATTTCATTATTTCATACAGTAACATAGGGATTATTTATAGGCTTATAATAGTTGCCAATAGATGGCAGAGCGGTCGCGGTTGTACCGGCGTCAGAAAGGAACCGTTGTACATTTGGCCCAGACCCCGCACTCCGCCAGCTCATTCGTTTCCAGTCCTGTATATCTTAGTCCGTGGTATGGACTGATGTGTTAGTACAACTCGTAATCGTTTATTACTTTTGTCAAACATCGATATCTAGATTTTGTCGTTAGTCAATATGGCGTCGGTTTACAGCGGTAGGGGCCGGCGGGCCGCGGGGTGGTTTAAAAATCGATAAGTAATCGTGTTAGTGCGTTAGTCATCCTGTCACCACTCGCGTCGTCACGAAATGGTGGAAAATTTGAAAATACACTCATGCGGAAGCGGAACTCGCTGGCATCCGCATGTGTAACAGTAGCGTATTTAGGTTTTTGGCTTGGGAGGGAAGGTTATGATTTTATCCAGTAAGCCTCGCCTTTAATGTTAGAGACCTGGTTGGGACTCCGGAAACTTTTGAATAAGTATTATAAACAGCCTAAGGGGGGGGGATAGATCACCTCTCGTAAATACGGCACTGACATGTAGTACACTAGCTGTCACCTATTTACAATTTATATTCTTCTTGAAAGTTGAAGCTGGTGTAAATTTGTTACTTATAAATTATATAATAAACGCAAAAATATTATTTCGTATTTAAGTATTTTATTTCAATTTTTAAGAAAATCCTATGAACATTCTTGTCCTATGTAATTTCAAGCATAATTGCATTTGAAATATTTTATTACGGTGTGTTATTGTATTACCTACAGCTTCCTCTCAGTATTATGATTAATTGTAGTCTTTAGAACCTATCATTATATCAATTATATTGTTATATAATAAGATTTATAATTTTTTTTTCTATCGTCATTATGTGTGATGTTTAAGAGCAGTAAAACTGGTGCTAAATTATGTCAACGTACAAACATTCTAATTGATGGTGGTTTTTGGTACCAAAATACCAAATTGGAATAGGATCAAAAGTAGAAAATCCCCCGTTAAAAAATTCAAAATAATCGCCAAAAGAGAATACACAAAACCAGTTTTTAGCAAAATTAATTTTTGTTTTTTATTGTAATTTAAAAAGGAATAGTCTTCAAGAGTTTTTTCACCCAACATTTATATTAGCATTTTCTGGACATCAAATAACAAAAAAAAATATTTTGGTTAATTTTGAGCCATTTTAAATTTATGATTTATTTTTGGTCTTATAGTGATTAACATTAATTCAAGCTTGAAACTATTTATAAGATTCTTCATAAGTTTGTCTTAAGCCTCGTTCACACGATCAAATAATTTGTCAAATATTTGACAAATTATTTGATCGTGTGAACGGGGCTTTACATAGGCACAATTTTTTTTATTAAACATTTAAGTTCTATTTTTGACAACATTTTATATTTAAATGACGAATAACGATTTTTCCTTTAAAAATTTTAGTTTTTATGCTGTAATTTAAAAATATTAATTAAAGGGAGTTGAAACTGTTTAACATAATTATGACACTATTTTTGGTAACAGTGTAGTATGCGATCTACCATAATTTCCATGATTGCTATACACAATAATATACATTCAATGTGCTGGTCGTTGGGTAGGGAACCAGTTTGTGGGTCTAAAATGTGTCCCTTTAGTTAGCAGTTAGCACAAAAAGTTGTAGATAATAAAAATTATAGTAGAGTTCTTACAAAACTAGTGGAGTACATATTCATTGCTTATGACAAGTCGACACCATTACCTTATTTTCTATACATAATGACATTTTCAATATATTTATACTAAAATTCTATGAACTTATTTACACTGTTCTACTGTATGCCAGTATGAACTTAAGTTAAAAACAATAATCTATGATATAAATATATAATATTATAATATATGTGATGGTTATGGTGTTTGTAGCAAAAATAAGTTCAACCTACTGTATAACTAAAAGAAAAAGAAATTAAAAATAGTAATATAAATTAGTACAAAATATCAATAGATATAAATACTGGCTGTATATTTGTATAGTTGAATTTAAATTTAAATATTTAATACATCCATTTTAGTGACTTACTCAATTATGAACAAACACCTACTATACAGCAGGTTAGCAGAGCAACTTACTCATTCTTTTTAAATTAAAATTTTAATACTAACAAAAACAATAAAAAAAGTGTTATAATGACTTTATTATATTTTATAACTTTATAAGTACCTAATATCATAAATTGGTTTTTTCAGGTAGGTAAGTAAATAAATGTATTGTTAAAAGTGTTAGAAAACAAAAATTACCAACCGTGGAGTTAATTTAATAAATAAGTATTTAAAGAAAAGCCAAATTTAAATGATTTTAGTCTTTAGAACTGCCTGGTTGATTTTCTTTGTCGCTGCCAACATCTCTTTTGCGTTGCACCATTTCACGCAAATTGTTCTCACTTTCTTTCAAATTACCTTCCAAGTATTGTTTAGTGTTCTAAAATAAAATAAAATAAAAATAATGAGTATTTTATATTAATCTTTTTGATTAGAGATATACTTACTTCTAAGACAGTAATTTTTTGTTCTGTATCGCTGTTAACTTTATCTAAGTTTTTAAATACTTCATCTCTTGGTGTTAATACAAATGCACGACCTAAAGCTTCATATGTGTTCACATCTTTTGGAATTTTCTAAAGATATATATAAAAAAATAAAACATTTTAAAACCACTGTAACTGCAGTACGACAAGTACTTTAAATATCAGTATAAGTGGTGTATGCACAACTAAACAACAAAAAGTGAAAATTATCGATCATGGATGAAATTACTAATGATTTATATTTTATAATCATTAACAATATGCTTGTTCAAAATTTAAATTTGTGTACATACAAATTCTTAAAAAAAATATTCGATTCTGGAATATGATAAATGTAAGATCATTCAAAAAAATTCAAAATTAAATAAGATAACACTACAAATGGTAAAAAAAAATATAATTTTTTCAAACATGTGGTTTTTTAATGATTTTAAATAATGTAAACTACTAATTTATACTTTTTGAGATAATTAATGTGTGACTAGTTAAAAGAACTATCCTATTACTATATATATAAATAATACATATTAATATACACTATTTATACGTATTTATAGACTCTAATACTTCTAGTTCTTGCTTAGTAAGAATATTATGTTGCTTTGTACGACGAAGAGTATCAATTTGCAAATCAGCCAATTTTATTTTTTGAGATGCATATAATAGTTTTTCATGAAGTTCTTTGAATGCCTGAAACAATCATATTTACAATAATAAAATAGGTAATATGTGTTTTTAATACCAGTAGTTCTGATTAATTTAATCATATATAAGTGTATACAATTAATCAATATATTCAACAAAACAACCATAAAACAATTTTTATGTTCAACTTTCTGGCTTGGAGTTAGAAATATTGATTCTAATAAAACTGTTAATTTAATTAATTATGATTGCAATAACTTAATGACATTTAAAATTTTATTTTATTTTTAGTGTTATGTCAAGTTTTATCACAACTATTTTTAACATTAATAAGTTAATTTCAAACTTATGACATCAACGACTAAATTTCAAGCCAAGAGAAAACGTCAGCAAATCGATAAACAGGATTTATTGTTTCAGAGCTTTATGACACAACATCGTAATCAACATGGTTGTGTTAATAAATCTAGAATGAGATAGCATCAGAACACTAGATACCACATAATTTTTCTAAATGGCATCATAACATACATTTTAAGACTTCGCCTTTTAACATAGTACCTACAATAATGATCAGTTGTTTACCAATTAAATTTGCAAACTTTTGCCGGGCTTCTGGTAATGACAATATACTAAAAAGGATCATGGTAAGCTACTTATATGTGATAACCATTCATAAATATGAAATATTTTGGCTTATATAAATTTTAAAGAATGTAAAAATATAATTATATGTTAAAAACAATTGAAAACTGAATAGGTAGCCTTAATAAATATACAAAACAAAATTAAATAATTTGGTGTACACTATTTATTTAACGATTGATAAAAACATTGAATGTAACATTTATTTTAACAAAAATAATGGTTTTTATGGATGTTGAATCATGGGTATCTTACATTAAGACTTTTTTATTTATATAACAATTTTAACTATTAATTGAGAAGCCTATTTTATGATTTATTTGATAACATACACATTACAAGAAGTTTTATCATTAAGTAGTAACATAACTGAAATAACGAACTGATTTACTTACATTTTTTAAGTCCATATCTACAGCCATATTTATGATTTCAATTTTAATATAAAATACTCAGTGGTAAGTAGATGCAATATTATTCTTGTAAAAATAAAAATACTGCAATACACCTATAATATAAAAAAGATTTTGTTAACTGTGAAATGAGACTACGAATCTTGAATTAAATAATAAGAAAATAGAAATAAGCAATAAGATTATAATTTTTAATACCTATATTATATTACACCACAATATATATATATATATATATATATATTTAATATTATAATAAAAAATGATTTAATAATGTATACCCACGCGACGAACTATCAAATTAAGAGACCTTTTAAAGTGATAGCGAATAATATTTCATATTTTTATCATGGACTTGAAAGATATCTGATATACCACCATAGATAACACACTATATTGTTATGTAAATATACCATATGGTCAGTGGCGCCGAACCTTTTTTAAACCACTGTGGTAAACCTTGTTTAAGGGCACCCACCTACCTACCTTTTATACATAAAAGCAGTCACTCATGACCCACCCTCCCCCCCATAAACTAAAAATGTTCAGGGGTATTTACCCCACTTGCCATATGTGTTCGGCGCCACTGCATATGGTCATAGATAATATATATTATTATGTATTATCCATGCATATGGTATACCAATACCACCATCACGTCATTATAGACTGTATTAGGGAACCTATGTAAGAATGTTTCAGTATGGCGTATTTAGGAATTTGTCCTGGGGTGTATATAAATTTTTTTACACACAAAATATTACATTTTCAATTACATTGGTGAGTATATAATACATATATATAATATTATGAAGGTTCTGGGAGGGATCTATTCCCCTCATCACCCCCTTAATTACGCCCCTGGATTATACATTATATAGGCTCTCTAGACTAGTATTATTTATTAAGCTATCTTTTTAATATGTTAATCCGGTTTATGGGTAGACCCTGGAGGCCAGAAAGCCGGAACCATTGACTAACTTGATGCATTTAATTTCCTTATTTATTGGATGTGTCTGACATCAGCTGTTATCACCTTTTAGGACAGTAAAAACTTAAAGTGCTTATTCTTTAATAGGTATCTTTTCTGGTAGGAAAGTGAATCAATTTGGTACCCGGGTCAAAGGAAAAGAAAAATTAAGGAAAATCGGGAATTTTTACGCAAAATCGATTTTGGTTTATGGTGTAACTCTAAAACAAATGACCGTATTTAGCACATGACATTTCCACTGGTTGTTTATATTCACATGTTTTATACGACTATACTTACACGATTAAAATATTTTGATTTGTTTTGAACTGTTAACGAACATTTACAGTTTCTAATTATATTTGTTTTTTTTCTATGTTGAAAAATATTAAAAATACCTGGGCACAATTTTTTTTATAAGCATTATAGTTCGATTTTTGACAACATTTATCAAATTTAAAATTTAAAAATGATTTTATCTATAGAATAAATATTTAAAACATTTATAGCTAAGGATTGAAAGCTTACAACAATGTACGTTATTCTGTAAGAGTGGCGCCAGTGATGTAGTCCTAAAAAAATTCATGGGTATTGGGTACACGCCTTTAATCATTGTAAAAAATAACTTGGGGGCTATGCCCCCCCCCCAGTCATCCACCATTATTCGGTACTCATATAATACTTCATCTATTTGTCTATGTAATATAGTATATATAATAGAACCTCATAAATTATGACTGATATATTTTAAGCTCATAATCCATAATATAATTATCAAATTTATGAAACATACCTATTAATTATTATTATAAAACATATTTGTATATTATTCATGTAATTCCCATAGTCGGATAGATTGTATTATATAGGTCTTGGTTTGGATCTATAGTGGTATATTAACTTTTCTTGACTTGTTGTCATCAGCATCTCTATGTGAGGTTAACCAAATTTCGACATAGTCTTTTCTGAATACGGGTAAACAAGGATCTAACATAGGAACATCGTGTTGGTTAACACCTAACGGGCTCATTTCCTAGGTTCAGACTTCAAATCATATGTAGGTAAACATAAACCTAATCAGCTGATCGAGTTTCGCTTCTATATTGTTCAATGACAATATTACTATTATTATTTATAGTAAACAAATTATGCTTATCTTTTTTTCTTATTGAATTATTGTTTGTAATTTAATATATTATATTACCCAATAATATTTCTTAAATAAATTTTATTGACCAAGTATAATTACTAATTAGGTAACATTAATAGGTATGGTTCATGGTCCGTGTACCCGCGAACCACGATTTTCGTTAAGAGTACAACTAGTACAAGCATTAATCTAAAATTGGGAGATGAGTACACACCGTGTACCCCCGTCTACCCTCCACTACACCAAAGTAAGATTGTAACCAAAAAATTTCAAAAATATAAATCACGGCTTTTTTTATAGTTAATTTATGGTCAAATTTGGGCAAAAAAACATATATTAAATAACCAAGAATAAAGATTTTAGTTATTTTTTGTAATTTTATAATACTAAATATTAATTCAACTTACCAGCTACCGTATTAATAATATGTAATAACAATATAAAATAATCACACTGAAAAACCGCGGTCACCGCTCAGAATCGTTTTTTGTATATATCTACAATTATATTATGTCATTGAATTCAAATTGAATATCATCCATTATACTGTGACCAGAGGCGGATCTAAGAATTTTTACGCCCGGGGAAAATATTAAAATTAAGCCCAATCATAGACCAAGATTGAAAATACAATATCATTCCCTACAATTGTTTTATCATAACTGGAACTAAAATTACAAACATACTTATTAACTTTTAAACACATAATAATATATAGTAATTAAATATTAATATATTCTGTGGACTGTGGTGTAACCAAGTTTATACTAATAAACTATCGCTCCAAAAACACTTTAAATTTAAAAACTTAGTTAACATATTGTTGATACATTTTTAATTACTGGAAATACTGTAGTGTTTACTTAATTGTATTTATTATTAGAAATAATAATATTAGTTATATATAAATGTTGAAAAATAATCAAAACTTTAATTACCTACCTATCCTGTATAAAAATTATAAACCCTTTTGCTGTTTTGGTTCTATGCGCCTCAGCCTTCAATTATAATAGATTTTTATGGTAAAATATAAAATCTTTTATTCTGATTAGGGTACACAATTTAGGCCAGTAAAAAATTGTGTTTAATTAAACAATTTATAATAGAAAAAAGGTGGGTAAGTGGATGTCGCTCTGCTGTACTGTAGGTTAGAAGTGGGTCACTGTATGATGGATGGTATTAAATTTGAATTCAATGATATAATATCATTGTATAAGAAAAACGATTATGAGCGGAGGCGGTATGTCAGTCTAGGTATAAGACATATTATATACTTATTTATGGTATTAAATTATATGGAATTTATGAATAAATTATTCATTGCCCCTTAAAATATGCACAGTCTTATCATTGAGCATACTTCTTATTCCTTATACTATGGTAGATTGTATGGATAGGCCATAATGTGTTGATTTTTCAGTTTCATATATCCCCGAATAATATTTTTAAATTACAACAAAAAACCAAGATCGTTAATATTGATTTTAATATGTAATTTCGTCCAAATTTGAATTTAAAATGTCTGTAAAAAATAACTGTGTTCATATATTGCTTGGATTTTTTGGTTACAGTATGAATTATTTAAGAGAATCTTTGTTTTAAATTTTCAACTCTTAGTTATAAAAACTGAACATTTTATAATTTTTTAATTCCAACGATTGATAATTTTCGAGATTTTGATAAATTTTGTCAAAATTCCAACTTTAAATGCTTATAAAAAAAAATCGTGCCAATGTATTTTTAATATTTTTCAACTGATATTGTAACAATATATCAGTAGCCTTGTATTAAATTTTTACACTTTTTGGCCCAACAGATAAAACTTTATTGATATTTATGTTGTTTTTCCCGGCGCTTGTGAAAACTACTGGAAAATGTTTACTTTTGACCCCCCAAAGTACCAACTAGATTCACTTTCCTATCAGAAAAGGTACTATTGAAGAAAATCGAAGCACTTTTACTGTCCTAAAACGTGATGACAGACACAAAAATATAAATAAAAAAGGTGGGCAAGTGGGTGTCGCTCTGCTGTACAGTAGGTTACAAGTGGGTCATTATATACAATCTTAGATTTAAAAAGAAAAATTTTTACGAATTCTTAACTCAAAATAATTTGCTAATTTTCGTGATTTTTCCATATTTTGTCAATTTTTGAACTTTAAATGCTTATAAAAAAAAATTGTGACTAAGGATTTTTAATATTTTTCATCTGCCTTTGAAACAACATATTAGGAGCCTTCTATTAAATTTTCAAGCTTTCGCAACCAATAAATAAAATTTTATTGATATTTTTAGAAAAAAAACTAAAAAAAAATGGAAAATGAAAATGTCCCTAAACAGTTCAAAATAAATCAAAATATTTTGAAAATGTTATCGTGTATAGAAAATGCAAATATAAACAACCAGTGAAAATTTCATGTATATACGTTCATTTGTTTTAGAGTTACACCAATAACCAAAATCGATTTTTTGGAAAACCAATTTTGCGTAAAAATTCTCGTTTTTCCTTAATTTTTATGTTGTTTTTCCCGGCGCTTGTGAAAACTACTGGGAAATTTATACTTTTGACCCCCCAAAGTACCAACTAGATTCACTTTCCTATCAGAAAAGCTACTGATGAAGAAAATCCAAGCACTTTTACTGTCCTAAAACGTGATGACAGACACAAAAATATAAATAAAAATATAAAAAAGGTGGGCAAGTGGGTGTCGCTCTGCTGTACAGTAGGTTACAAGTGGGTCACTGTATAATGGATGATATTAAATTTGAATTCAACGATATAATATCATTGTATAAGAAAAACGATTCTGAGCGCAGACGGTATGTCAGTCTATGTATAAGACATATTATATACATATCTATGGTATTAAACAAAAAATTGACCTATAATGGGTACCTATAATAAATTCCAAATTAATCATATCAAAATATCCATTAGGTACTTATAACGCGTTATACATCAACAAAAACCGTGATACTATCATAGATATATAATAGTACACTTTAGAAGTTTCAAGTATCCACGAATAATATTATTCAATCACAACAAAATAACTAAAATAGTTATTCTAGGTTTTTTAATATGTAATTTCGTCCAAATTTGAATTTAAAATGTCTGTAAAAAATAACTGTGTTCATATATTTTTTAGATTTTTTGGTTACAGTATGAACTATTTACGAGAACCTTTGTGTTGAATTTACAATCCTTAGCTATAAAAACTGAACATTTTATAATTTATTAATTACAATGATTGATAATTTTCGAGATTTTGATAAATTTTGTCAAAATTTGATCTTTAAATGCTTATAAAAAAAAACTGTGCCTATGTATTTTTAATATTTTTCAACTGATATTATAACAATATATCAGGAGCCTTGTATTAAATTTTTACACTTTTTGGCCCAACAGATAAAACTTTATTGATATTTATAGAAAAAAAAACTAAAAAAAATTGAAAGCTGTAAATGTCCATAAACAGCTCAAAAAGAGTCAAAATATTTTCAAAATTGTATGGTGTATAGAAAATGCTAATTTAAACATTCAGTGAAATTTTCATGTATCTACAGTTATTTGTTTTTGAATTACAACAAAATAAGGAAATCGCTACATGGGAAATCGAGTGAATATTCAATGTTGTAAAAATTTGAATTTCAAACGCTCATAAAAATTTAATTTGACTTTCTTATAAACATTTTTCTTTTGATAAAGGTAGACAAACTTATAAGGAATCTTGTGTTTAATTTTCAAATCTTATATTTAAAAAGAAAAATTTTTACGAATTCTTAACTCAAAATAATTTGCTAATTTTCGTGATTTTCCCATATTTTGTCAATTTTTGAACTTTAAATGCTTATAAAAAAAAATTGTGACTAAGGATTTTTAATATTTTTCATCTGCCTTTGAAGCAATTTATTAGGAGCCTTCTATTAAATTTTCAAGCTTTCGCAACCAACAAATAAAATTTTATTGATATTTTTAGAAAAAAAACTAAAAAAAAATGGAAAATGAAAATGTCCCTAAACAGTTCAAAATAAATCAAAATATTTTGAAAATGTTATCGTGTATAGAAAATGCAAATATAAACAACCAGTGAAAATTTCATGTATATACGTTCATTTGTTTCAGAGTTACACCAAAAACCAAAATCGATTTTTTGGAAAACCAATTTTGCGTAAAAATTCCCGTTTTTCCTTAATTTTTATGTTGTTTTTCCCGGCGCTTGTGAAAACTACTGGGAAATTTATACTTTTGACCCCCAAAAGTACCAACTAGATTCACTTTCCTATCAGAAAAGCTACTGATGAAGAAAATCCAAGCACTTTTACTGTCCTAAAACGTGATGACAGACACAAAAATATAAATAAAAATAAAAAAAAATAAAAAAAAAAATAAAAAAACACACATCATTGTAAAATCAATACTTTCATCGTTTCACTCAGAATCTAAAAGGTGGGCAAGTGGGTGTCGCTCTGCTGTACAGTAGGTTACAAGTGGGTCACTGTATAATGGATGGTATTAAATTTGAATTCAATGATATAATATCATTGTATAAGAAAAACGATTCTGAGCGGTGATGGTATGTCAGTCTATGTATAAGACATATTATATACATATCTATGGTATTAAACAAAAAATTGACCTATAATAGGTACCTATAATAAATTCCAAATTAATCATATCACAATATCCATTAGATACTTATAACGCGTTATACATCAACAAAAACCGTGATACTATCATAGATATATAATAGTACACTTTAGAAGTTTCAAGTACCCACGAATAGTATTATTCAATCACAACAAAATAACTAAAATCGTAATTCTTGGTTTAAATATGAAATTTTGTCTAAATTTGAAATTAAAATGTCTGTAAAAAATAAGTGTGTTTATATATTTTTTAGATTTTTTGGTTACAGTATGAATTATTTAAGAGAATCTTTGTTTTAAATTTTCAACTCTTAGTTATAAAAACTGAACATTTTATAATTTTTTAATTCCAACGATTGATAATTTTCGAGATTTTGATAAATTTTGTCAAAATTTGATCTTTAAATGCTTATAAAAAAAAACTGTGCCTATGTATTTTTAATATTTTTCAACTGATATTATAACAATATATCAGGAGCCTTGTATTAAATTTTTACACTTTTTGGCCCAACAGATAGAGACTACATCGCTCCGCTCAGAATCTAAAATATAAAAACATACATCATTGTAAAACCAATACATTCATCGCTCCGCTCAGAATCTAAAATATAAATAAAAATATAAATAAAAATATAAAAACATACATCATTGTAAAACCAATACATTCATCGCTCCGCTCAGAATCTAAAATGAAAAAGTAAATATTTAAAATCAAATCTTTTTTTTTAAACATAAACAAATGTATAACTATCTTGGTAAATATTATAATATATAATATTATAAACTATATATTAACATCATTTTTAATATACAGATATAATATACGTATCGTACGTTGATTGATAATCTTATAACAGTTATTGTGTAGGTATCAGAAATTTTAACGAAAACACAGCATCAATAAATGCCTAGGTATATAGTTACTAGTTACATTTTCACTCAGAATCTTAATAATTATAGTATATTAGTAAATTAGTTGTATATGCTTGCAGTAGGTATGCTTATGCCAGTATACCCACTATACCAGTATATACTTAGTATACTAATACGAATCTATTCATAATACCATTAACTTTATTTTTTTTTTATTAATTCCAACGTCATCACTACAACATCATAAACAAATAATGTGAAATAAAAATGTTTTCTTAACTTCTATCACCAAGCATTAAATAAAGAACTAAAGAAAAATTATGCCCACTAAAATTTTACGCCCGGGGATCAATCAACGGCTTCACCCCCCTAGTTCCGCCACTGACTGTGACCCACTTGAAACCTACTGTACAGCAGATCGACATCCACTTACCCACTTATATTTTATTAATGTCAATACAATTGTATATGATGTTTTAGATTTTAATTTCCAATAGCGCGACGCGACCATGCTGGGTGTATATTATATGTTTTTAATAATTTTGTGTTAACTATGAGTCTCATCCAAGGTGGATTTACCTTTTACATAGCAAATCGAATTATCGAGCCATCGAGAGTTATTGTTTTTGAATTTATTTTATTGTCCGAGCGAGCGTAGCGAACGATTTACCACTCCGGCAGCCGGGTGTATTTAGTGTAGGCAGTAGGTACCTATATAAAAATACTATATAAATTTCAATTAGCTGTAACAATATGCCTGGAACTTGATGACCTAGACATTTTGAAAACAATTAATGTGTACAAATTACATAAATATGTTTTGAAACGATCTAAACTATCAAAAAATTACTTAAAAATTAAAATATTTGGTTTAAATTAAAAATATCACACAAATATAATACTAGCAACATTTATCTTGCTTAAAATATATATTCTTCTTTTCAAAAGAAACACTTTTTTAAAAACGGGCCAATTTATTAACCTAGATGGTGGGGGGGGGAGTGCGCTCCTCTGGCCCCCCTTAAATCCCTCACTGGATGACGCTGTGTCGTTGACCGTGGTTGTCATATACTCATATGAGAGCGGATGGGATAAAAGAAAAAAAATTTAAACGGAGGTGAGAAGTTTGTACAGTCTGTACGACGTTTGTAATCAGTATTTTTCAAACAATATTAATTGTGTACGCAGCGCACTGTTCACCATGTGGCGAATTTGGTACATCGACTGTGCGCTCATTCGTGAGAAACTTTTCCGATCTATGCATCGATCGAGTCAATCACTCATGCTCCCCTCGGTTACTAATGAGCAACAGGTGTTCACCTCGTCTCTGTATATATATAAAGCAAATTGGATGTGACCGTAACAAGCGAGAACGAGAGCCAAACGTTTCTGCGTTTAACGTCGTCCGTATTGTCGGCTAGATGCCTCCACGGTGTTGTATAAACCACATTATTTTATTCAAGTGTTGTGTACACGATGTGGAGAGAATCTTTTCTACATCGTGGTTGTAATGATAATACCATAATATAATATTATGATTTATGACTTGTGCAGTTGTGCACACTGTACGCAGTTTGTGGCGACGTGATTTCGCCTACATACGTGATAAAGAAAACCTTTCGATCTGCTCGAAAACGAATTCCACAGCAACAAATTGTTGTTCAACGAATAATTGTTTACGGTTTCAGCGCACAGTTTTGTGATAATAATAATATTATTCCGGGTTTTTTTTTCTCTATCGTCGCTGGTGCCGATCTCCGTTCGATACGACCTACTTTTGCCCCCTTTAATCTTTTATTATCTGTGCTTTTGCTGTCGACATCGAAGCTGGCAGTTATATTTTAATTCCGTTGGCGGTCTTACTAGTGGTGTTTTTATATTTATTATCAAACCGTTTTCGGAAGACATAACGAGACCATGACGTCCTCGAAGTACTGTTTGAAAACTCGCAATAGAATGAAACTTCCAAACGCTAAGGCAAGTGTTTACCAGCCCCAGAGATTATTATTATTGCATTAATGTTGTAATACGACTAACATTTTTTTTTAACGTTTTAGAAGTTGGATAACGAACAGGACCATGATCTGTTTTTGTCAAAGTTTACTTCAGCACTTTGTGGCGACAGTTTCAACAGACTCCCGTTGAACTCCACATTAGGACGTCTCCCATTATCTGGTATGAGATACATATTTCACCACAATATTTTATCATACTAAAGATATTAAGTTAACGTGTGCCTTTACGGCTTTATGTAGTAGGTGCCTAATTATATTTTGTGTTAGGGTTCCATGTTGACAAACTAATGTACCTATGCATTTAACAAAATTAAATAGGATTTTTTGTTTTAAATAATATTAACAAGATGTTCTAAAAGTACAGTAAATTTTTTAGCACACTAGTATTGAATAAATTGAGTCCTATAAATAGAAGTTCATTCAGTATATGAAAGTTTCACTGTATTACAGTGATCAGTAATAGTTTAATTCTATAAGAAATATATTCAATTAAATACTACTTAATAACTCGCTACCTATATATTCTGATTATGTGATTAATTATATTTGATTTAATTTAAAATCATAATGTAGTAAAATATACATTTTATTATTTGAATAATATTCAGTTTTCTAACATTTTACCTTTTTTAATTACAGAATTAGCCCAGGAACTCAAAACAGGAAAATTGATATCAAAATTTGAAGATTTTGATTATTACACTGATGGCGAAGATGAATCACCATATGTTTACACATGTTCATTTGTATTGGCTATAATGTATTTTGAACGACTCAAAGTATCAAATCCTAACTATTTGAAATCTATTAACTCATCTGAATTATTTCTCATATCTTTGGTAAATCAAACAATAATATTGTACATCATCAAAATGATGAATTAAACATTAAAAACTTTAATGTTATTTATAGTTAGTTGCAAGTAAATATCTCCATGATGATGGTGAACTTGATTCCGCTATAAATAGTGAATGGGCCGTAGCTTATGGTATCAGTCTTAAAACTATCAATCAAATGGAAAAAGATTATTTATCAGCTATGGTAAGACATTAATTTAAAAAAATTCCTAATTGATACTGATCTCACCAATAAAATGTATTTTAAATTGGTATGCCATATTTAATTATTATTAAACATTTGAATTGATTTATAGCTATTGTTATTAAATATTTTACTATTAAGTGAACATTATAGAAGTATATTAAATATTTCATGTTCTTATATAATGTATTCAAAATTAGCTCCATTTATTAAATATTATGAAAAATATAAAATTTTATTTATCCAACAATTAAAATTTAGTTTAGATGCTGGTAATGCCAAATTAATCTTTTGTTATATCTAAATAGAATTGGGAATTTTTTATAAGTGATGAAGAATTTGCAAATAGACATAAAGAAATAGTTGATCAACTATACAGTGATATAGAGAAATCCAACTCTGTACTGTTAAAGATGTTCCTATTGATCTCATCAGTTGTACAAAAAATAAGAAAGGTAAGTTAAGATTTTTTTTTTTTAATTCAATTATTTTAATTTCATTATTTGTTTTGTATTAGTTGTACCGAAGGAAAATTGTCCGCCAGAAAATGAAACATATGATTGCTATGTCAACTGTTATCACTGTGGTCACTGCAACTACTATGCAACTTAACCATGGAAATCAAAAGTTGGTCCAAGAATTGTATGAACAAATTGAGTCTAATCCAGATTACCCGACAATTCCCTCCACCCATAAAAATGACATAGTAAAACCTCAAAACGTAAAAGACATATCTAAAGGATGGAATTCGTCTAAATTACTACAGTTATTAGACCATTTATTACTAATGAACACATGTGTATCTGATGATGATCGTCAACTATCATTTCAAACAACCCTTAGTAAATCAAACAAAAACCAATTTAGGAATATTACGCATTTCAAAAGTATTATATTTTTTAACTATTTAACAACCATAAACTATACATATTGAAGTTAAGTCTACCTTTGTGGGTTCAAATTTACTCAAATACATTTTAACTAATATTTTGTGTTGTATCAGTTTTTTTTTACAAATGTTTTGTATCAAACTCAATAAAATACATTTCTTTAACATATATGAACATTAGAATATATCATAAACAATTTGTGGTTATAATAACTTATAAAAGTATTACAGCCATCATATTTTATTTAAAATTGATGTGAATTTAATATTAAATAACAAAAGTATACAAGATAAATATCACACATTATATTTAAAAAACATTTTATTTATTATTATTGAGTAATAAGTTAATCATATATACCATATGATTTAAAATTAACTATATTTACTTGTTTGATATTTTGATTATTAAATACTAATTACCAGGAATAAGTTTATGTGCAATTGAATTTATTAAAGTATAAAAGGCTGAATAATAAAATATTATGTTTAATACATCTTTAATTTAGTTTATGAATGACCACCATTTGATAATAATTTTTACTATACTGGATTATTTAAATTTAAAGAAATTGTGATTGTTAAAACTTATAAGACAAAATCAATTTATAGTATATTATATAAAAATAGAATGATTCAGCAGTGTTAAAATTCAAACAAATGAAAATCTATATTTTTATTAAAACAGTCTAATTTTACTCTTTTATCTTATAACAAAGTTCCTAAAAATAGGTACCATAGATAAGTAAATAATATGTCTTATACTTAGACTGACATACCGTCTTCGCTCAGAATCGTTTTCTTATACAACGATATTATATCATTGAATTAAAATTTAATACCATCCATTATACAGTCACCCACTTGTAACCTACTGTATAGCAGAGCACCTTTTTTTAATATGTAATTTCGGCCAAATTTGAACTTAAAATGACTATTAAAATAAACTGTGCTTATGTATTTTTAGATTTTTTATTTACAGAATTAACTACATACATGGAATCTTGTTTTAAATTTTCAATCCTTAGATATAAAAGTTTTTTTAAGACTTTTTGATAAAAGTAGAGGAACTTATATTTTATCTTGTATTACATTTCAATATCTTAGATTTAAAAAGAAAAATTTTTATGAATTCTTAACTCAAAATAATTTGATAATTTTCGCGATTTTTCCATATTTTGTCAAGATTTTAACTTTCAATGCTTATAAAAAACTGTGACAAGGGATTTTTATTATTTTTCAAATGTCAATGTAACAATATAGTAGGAGCATTGTATTACATTTTCAAGTATTTTTACTCAACAAATAAAGTTTTATTGACATTCATAGAAAAAAAGCTAATAAAATTGGTAACTGAAAATGTCCCTAAACAGTTCAAAATAAATGAAAATATTTTGAAAATTTTATCGTGTATAGAAAATGCAAATATAAACAACCGGTGAAAATTTTATGTATCTACGGTAATTTGTTTTAAAGTTATGCCAAAAGCCAAAATTGATTTTGCGTAAAAATTCTAGTTTTTCCGGGCGCTTTAAAACTATTGGGAATTTTAAATTTTGACCTTCCAAAAGTACCAACTAGATTCATTTTCCTATCAAACAAAAAATTGAAGTTGAAAATCAAAGAATTATTTCGACTACTAATCGTGTACACAGCCACAAAAAAAAAAAAAAAATTAAAAAAAAAAAACACATCATTGTAAAATCAATACATTAATCGTTCCACTCAGAATCTAAAATAAAAATCATTGGTATGTTGTGGGTCTCAAACATTTTCAAAGTGGGTAGAATTGTCAAAAGTTTGGGAACCTCTGATCTAATAAATGTACAGCTGTCGTCACCAGATAATTACAGAACATTCCAGTGGTATTTCAGAAAGTTGTTACCAGTTATTAAATGGGCAGCGTAAACTGTAGTAAGCATTTACTTATTTTTATAACATGAATGAAGATTTGAGATCACTAAAGCTATCCTAACTTTTATTTTATTGGTCTCAAATATTGATTGATATCAATTTTCTAATGTAGTGTCAAAAGTATTTTAGCACAAATTGCATCACATTTAAAGTTATTTCTACCCTCCTGTAGTTTTTTTTTTTAATTTAAAAAATGTATAATTGTTAAAAATGCTTATGCTGGATTTATGAACAATCACTAAACATATTTTAATGAATCAATAATGAGCTAATGTTCCCTTTAATATGATGTTGTGGCCCATAATAAGTCCATTAAATTTAAACATTTTTCTTCCAACCCAGTATTGATATTTTTTAGTTCTAAGGAATCATATTGAATTCAAATAGATCACAAGAGCTAATTTTAAGTTTACAGAGAAGCTGTCTTTTAAATGAATAATTGGGATATGTGCTTCCACCAGATTAAATTTTTATTACATTGGGGCATTGGGCAAGGTTTACTTTTGATACACCAAATACTATTTTATGAATATAATTTATTAATTTAAGTTTAAACAAAAAGGAATAAACAATTTAATATTTACATAGAGGTTGTTTAAATTTCTAAAATAATATGTATAAAAAAAAATGTGATTTACATGAATTATATAGAAGTTTATGAAACACAAGAGAATGAATGTGTTTTTGTGTACCATACTTCCAAATATTATGAATAATTCAATATTTCTTAGTTACATCAGCTTTATTATTATATTATAGTGAAATAATGACATTTATGTTATCATACATTTTAACTTATTTAACCGTCTGTTTTGGCAGCTACTGTGCACAACTTGGCTAATAATCCTGACAATTGAAGTAATGAGTTCATTCCTTCCACAATCCTTATGTGAACCATTCCAATCTCCTGAAATATAAATACATTTTATAACTTTAAGGCATTTTAAGCTTAAGTTTAAGATAACAGTTTAAAAAAAAATGAATAGACTTATAAATATTAATGTTTAAATTTTAAATATTCAAACACAAAAATAAGTTTATCGGCTAAGAAACACATAACAAACACAAAAATACTATTGAAATCATTTTAAACCCTTATCATAATTATAATAAAAATACAAAATTTTAAATAGATCAAATAGGGAATGACATGGTCTCTGCTGTTATCATATATTAAGACGCTACCTTGCATTTGTTATTTCCATTATTACACACGTACAAGATAGAATATTTGTATTCACTAGTTTCAATAGTGTGCTATAAGTATTAATATTGGAGTGAATCAACCTATTATCAAACTTTTTGGTAAGAATATTATTTGTACTTAAGCGTTGGCTTATCAATTTTTTCTATATTTTAATTTTCAAACAAGAAATAAGTATGTGACATATCACAAATTAAAAATGCCTATAGCTCGCTTGGAAATGAAAATATCAAACACAAGCCGAAGCTCAAGCACAGGCCATGTTCTTACCTAAAAGTTTGATAAAGATCAATTCACTCTATTATTTAAATTAACAGCACATTATTGAAACTAAAGTGAAAGAAAATTTGCCATGTCGTTTGTGTACACGACGAAGACAACAAATGCATGGGTATAGGGTCTTCTGAATTTTGTCTTTGAAGTTTAAACTACTCAATTTCAATACAATGTAATGTTAATGATTACCAAATGGTTTTATACAATAAAAGTTGAAGAATGCCTAATGTATGATAAGCCCTTTTATTTTACCTGTATAAATTTTAATTTCAGAGATTCTTTGATTTCCAAATGTTTAGCAACTCTAAATATGTTTGTAATGATGTCTTCAGGGGCATAACCGAGTTTCCATAAATGGGCCATTATCTACATAAAAAAATAATTATTAAACTCTTAGCATCTTTGAAACTAACAACTTAATAATGATCTTACTTTATAAGCCTTGGAGATATTTTGGTCAGCACATTCCAATAACATTTCTTTAACAAGTAGGGGATGTGGCTCGTCACAAACTTTAAATACGTTTGTGCTATCGACGTGTCTAAATCCATTCCATGTGGATTGTAAGTTGTTCAAAGCTTGTCGCATGTCACCTTGTGCAGTAAATACAACAGCTTCCAAACCATCGGAACTGAAAGATACCTGTAGGCAGAAATCAATATATACACAGGAACTTATAATTTGAAATAATTATATTAAGTACATAATGCATATTATATATTTACATTACCTCTTCGGATTTGCAGACTTTAAGCATCTGAGTCATGACTTCTTGATCAGAAAGTTTTCCATATCGCAACATGGCACAACGTGACTGAATTGCTTCAATAATTTTGTCACTATTGTTACAGGCAAGTGCAAATCTTGTTGTATTACTCCATAATTCCATAGTACGTCTAAGTGCTTGCTGAGCTCCATCAGTCATACTAACAAAAAAGAATATTTTAAATATTAAAAGAGTAATAAATAAATAATATTTTTACTTAGTATTTAGTTACCTATCGGCTTCGTCTAAAATAATTATTTTGTGTCTACCAGGAGGCAATGTGACTTTTTGTTGGGCAAACATTTTGATTTTGTTTCGTACAGTATCAATACCACGGTCACTGGAAGCATTTAGTTCTAGTACGGCTTCTTTGAAAGCACCTCCTAGAAGTATTCTAGCTAGAGCCAATATCGTTGTGGTTTTACCAACACCAGGAGGACCCTATTAACAATATGTAAAAGTTAATACAATTAGTTACTACTGTTGAATATATTAAAATAATAATAATAATAATAATAAAAAAAATTAATTTGTTCATTGTGCTCACCGCAATAATGATGTTTGGTACATTTCCGCACGAAGAAAACTTTTCCAATCGCAAAACAGTTTCTTCATTTCCAACAATGTCTGTGAATGATTTTGGGCGATATTTTTCAATCCTGAATATTATACCATACAAATAATGAGAATACTTACTACAGATAGGTACTATGTTTATCATTAGGTCCATATTTGTACTTACCATGGCGTATTTAAATCACTTTTAACAGTTTTCGATTGAGGAGGCGCAGTAGTTAACACGTTGTTTGTACTGGTAGAACATCCTTCCATGGGATCTATTACGGCCGATGTTGAGGCACCTTCTTCTGGGTTATCGACTTCCATTTCAAAATTGAGGTTCAAATGATAAATACGGACGACCTTAGCCAATACACACTTGATATTATACGTGTATTTTACAGGCAAAATATGATTGGAAAGCGCTGTCCACAAGAATCAATTAGTCCTACCTATGAATCAAACTTGAAGAAATTATTTTTAAAGTATAACATTTTTATGTAGAGTCTCGCATAATCGTCGCATGCAGAATGTGATGTTTTGAGTTTTTGCCTCATAATAATATTGTTTGAAAGGGCGGGAAAGATAACACTATCAACAACACTTTTTTGTTTGAAAAAAAATTAGGTTATGTTATTTTTCGGATAACCGCAAAACATAAATAATGTCTTCACAATATTCAAGAAATACCAATGAAGCACAATAATTACTTTTAGATTCTGAGTAGAACGATGAATGTGTTGATTTTGCAATGATGTGTGTTTTATTTTTGTGTCTGTCGACTGTCATCAATATTCTTATATTCCTAACGGTATGAATCTACTAGTGATAAGAATATAAGATAGTGTTTACACTTGATTACAAGCATGCATGTTAATGAATTCATGATTACAATTTACAATATACAAGTTACATACAACAATATAGTCATACAATTTTGCGTTAGTTACTTAAATTAGTTAGATTACATTTATGAATTAAAATGCTAAAATGCTAATAAGTGTGAGTATGTGAGTGATGTGACAAAATAAGTACTTAATAGTAAAAAGCTTATCTATTATTATTACTTTGTCATGAATTAATTTTTTTGTCTTTTATAAGCTATGAAGAAGTCAAGTACACGCATTTTGTTCGGCTATTCGTGACGAAAGTAACAAGAGGCTATTAATTATTAAACTTATAGAAGTCTACCATAAGTACAGCATAATAATATTGTTATGCTATACTCTTCATCCTATGTCAAATGTCGTCTGATGAGAATTAGGTATTTGATTGTCAACGAAGTGTGAAAATGGATTTATCAACGGAAGAACTGCTTAGCAGAAAAGAGACGTTGAAACAATTTGAAAATTATATTGATAAAACAAGTAACACGCTAAAATGTTTTGTTGAAAACATTGGATGGACATTGGATAAAACTCCAGTCAATGTAAATATTAAATGCTTCACTAATCCGTAATCTCTAACTTTGATGAATAGTTATAGCTTATAATCATATTGTATGGAGTTCAATTCACAAATCAATTCTAACAGTTCCAAAAGTTGTACCTATCGCTTATTTAGATATTGATTTTTCTTATACTTAGTGTCTAATTAGTATTCCAAGATCAAAAGTCTATAGGTATTAATTATTAGTAAAAGATTATTTTATAACAGCGTTTCCCAAACTTTTCATCCAACTTAGGCTCTCAGAGATTAGAACATATTTTTATTTTCTTAATAAGACTTAATAACCCCATGTGTGCCTTTTTCTTACAATTAATGTACAACATAGACAATTTTATGTTTAGAATATTACATCTTTTTACTCAGTTAATTTTAATATTAGAATGAATTGACCTTGGAATTGAACCTTTTATCGAATTTAAAATTAAGCCATAATATTATCATAATATATTTTTTTTTATTCTATTATCACAGAATAGAAGAAATCTATTACTGTACCCAGTGGCGTCCGCAGGACTTTTCAATTGGGGGGGGGGGGCATGAAAATTAGTTAGAATTTTATTTTTATTTTGTCCAGTCTAATAATTTCTGACGTTTATTTGAGGTATTTTAAAATGTTTGTAACTTTTCAACTTTTTTGGTAGAAAAAATGCTCTGATTGTAAGCTTTGATGCCCAGTATAAGTTTTTGGAAGCAAATTGGATCTAGTTGGTATTTTAAGGAGGTCAAAATTGAAAATGCTTAGCGCATTTAAAAATAACAGGAGAAAAAAAAAATGAAAATTTATTTAAATTGTTTGGTAACAAGCTTGGTTATACCGTTCTCACTTGGATTGTATTTGATTAATTAAAATTTTTGTTTAAACGGTTGTAAATGGTTATTTTTTATATAAGCATTTAAAGTTCAAATTTCAAATTTTGTCAAAACCACAGTTAATTTGTAGTTCAAAACTTATAAAATATAAAATATGTATAGCTAAGGCTAGACAACTTAATACAAGGTCTTTCATACAAGTAGTTCATACTTTTACCGAAAAATTACAGATAGGTAATTTATGAAAAATGGTAGGTATGCAAATATAATGTTTTTTCAAAAATGAATTAATTCTGGTAAGACATATGAAATTTACGTCTGGCTTACTATAGTTGACAGTTTAAACTTGATTAATATTTTTTTGAAAAAGTAATAATTATACAGAAATTGGGGAGGGGGCTTCAGCCCTTTAGCCCCCCCCCGCCTCCGGGATTGGTAAATTGAGTCCCAAATGACCCTAACTCGGTAAATTGAGTCCCGGGGAAAAACAGGTAGTAGGTAAGTTGAGTCCCGGAAAAAATAAGGTAGTAGGTAAGTTGAGTCCCGGGGAAATGATTTTTAAATAATAATTATTAATTATATAATAATATTTTTCCCCAACGATACACTCTTAACAACACCAAAGCATTCACATTCAATAAAAGTCCATAACTTTGTAACATCGTACCTTTGGTTAAACACAATTAAGATAGGTACCGATAAGTAAGGACTTGTTCGTACGTATATACTATAATATATAGTGAGATAGTAAGATACCGTCATCTTACTATCTCACCGATTTCCCCCGAATATTTGGTCCGCATTTGCTGCTACAACCGTGCGTACAACCAATAGTTGTGAATCGTATCATTCGAGATTAAACCGACGCGTTTACAGTCCACATCCGAATATTTTTAACTTTATTGATGAATTACTTGAAGTTCAGTCAGAGACACAAATAAAATTAATAAGTAAAAATTAAAAAAAGAAAAGCATGATCGATAACGAACAAAACCTAAGGGAGCAAATGACCAAATACACCGGTAATGTTATAACCTAAATAAATAAACCCTATAAATCTAAATATTATATATCTTTATATAAATAATATTTACTTACTACCTTTTTTTTCCCGGGACTCAACTTACCTCCTACCTGTTTTTTCCCGGGACTCAATTTACCGCTTTCAAAATGTACCAAACTTATCTCGGACTCAATTTACCTAGCCCCCCCGCCTCCTGCGGACTCCACTGACTACATATATTATGTAGGTTTTTTTTATATTTTAATTTTAAAGTTAAATGAAAGTTTTGAAATTATAGTTGTTCAAAATTCACTTTAATATTAACAATAGATTATTCTAAATGTAAAATTTGCTAAATTATAGACAGAGACAACACATATTTCATTGGTATTATTTTTTTATTTTGAAAAAAAATTACTTTTAATTCTATGTCTTGAATTGTTATTTAAAATTAATATTTCAATATATAAAGACAAGTTTTTGGATTCCAATTTGAGAAATTGTTATTGACACAAAGAAACCTCCTGCTTGGTAAAAATAAATTTTAATGGGAGATAAAAAAAGTTAAAAAATAAATAAATTTGCCAAAGATTTACATAAGTGATTTTATTTATTATTTTTTATTGATTCTACTATGAAGATAGGCAACATAAATTATTATCAAATTGTAGCTTATATTTTTTTCTACAGGTGATTTTTTTTGTATTATCGACGAAATGCTGTTTTAGAAATTTGTCAAATAATTTAAAGTCCTCTAGTCATATAACTTTAGTCTACTTGAAACAATTTTAAATCAAAATTATTAAGACAGTTTTACAAATGTATTATTAATATCTATATTTTTGTGTACTTATTTACTTTCAGGATAAATTGGCAAAATGTCCATTCAATAATGAACACAGAATGCCACCATCCACACTCGAGGTTCATTGTCAAAAGTGTATATTGAAAAAAAATGGATACGATTCATCTCATTCGTTTTATCCTTCTTATAATTTGTCAACACCTTTAGCCCACTCTTTAAAAATAGGTATATTAAACAAAACTTTTTTCTTCTTTTAATACTTCATAAATTATTATCATTATGAATTTATTCTTTAAAAACTAACCTTGTAGTTTTTACGATAAATAATGGAATTTGTATTTCTCACATATGTTAGACGTTAAAAATGACTTCGTTCCTTGGTATGGTTGCATTGACATCAATGTAGTGATGAATTCAATAATATAATTTGTATAATTCAAGGGATAAATTGATTATTTTATAATTTTTGTTTTATTTATCTAATAATTAATATTTTATCTTTACTTGTTACAGATGAAATCACTCAAATGCATATTTTGAAAACTGCTTACGAGGAATCAAATTCAACCTTAAGTTAGTAAAAATAGAAAAATAATTAATACCTATTATTTATTGAATACATCAATAAAATAATTTTTATAACAGCTAATGAATCTTTTTCAGATATGATTAAAGAATATTTGGTACAAGATATTTTACAATATCTCATTATACATAACAAAAAAAACTTATATCCTTTTTAACTATTCTATTTGATGATAATAATAATAATTAATAATTATTATAATGTTTTGTTATTACTCCAATTATAATAACAATTAATTACTGTACCTATTAATTTCAACAGTTTTTCAAATATTTGTTCTTTTTTTTAAATTTGACAAAAACATTTGGATTTATATCTTGCTTGAAGAACGTTATTATACATTCTTTTATATTTGAGGTAAATAGACCTCTTGAGAAAAAAAATCTTTATTTTCTAACTATTTTTCATTCATGTATATTTTTGCAGTAAATATTATGTCATTTCTAATACAGTTATTAATAAAAAAATTAAAATTTTTATTTTAGATATAAATCTTGAGCCTAGAGAAGTTTCCCAAAGTATAGAACGTTATGTTTGTGATTTTACTCCTGATGAGAGAAGAGTATTGTATGATAGTGCTGTAAAATACACCAAACTGCCTAATCACAAAAATGTGATAAACGATTTAACAGGGTAATGTTCAAATAAAATATATTAGTTATTTGTCAATCATTTTAAAATAAATTATTATTCATATTAATTTTAGTGTGGATGTATATAATAAAACTGACGATAAACCCAAAACTGAGCTTGAGATTTTGCAAGAGCAAAGAGACTTAAAACGTAGGAGTGCTGCTTATCGAGGAAAAAAAGTTCACACGGATAGAAAATCTTATGTAGAAGTAAGTTAAATGCATTCAAGTTAGTATTTAAATTTTTAATTAATCCTTTTGATTATTTAGATTTTAAGAGAAGTAGTTGAAGGATTAACAAATAATTTGGCCCATTCAGAAGATAAATCAGTATGCGTCCAAACTTTAAATACCGTTACAGAAACTACACCAAATGATCGTTTTGTGTATAAGTATGCTGGTAATCAAAATTATGATGGTAATCCATATACTCGCTGGCTTGGTATTGAAACAGAGGAATCTAAATTATTTAAGTATTGTCCAAAGGAGAGTCAAAGTTCATATCAAGAAGCTTCTACATCTAGAATATCTTGTAGAGATCAAACTGGTTTTAAAAAATCAAGAAAAAGTAAATCTAAATCAAGAGAAAGAAAAATGTCCAGTAGTGAATTAAAATTAAGATCTAGAAGATCTTGGTCTCGCACAGTATGTAAATCAAGAAAAAGTAGATCTAAATCAAGAGAAAGAAAAACGTCCACTAATGAATTAAAATTAAAAAGATCTAGGAGATCTAGGTCTAGCTCAGTATGTAAAGAAACCAAATATAAGAAACCTAAATTTCGTTCTAAATCCAAAGAATATGTATCAGCAGAGAGTAAACATAAAAGATCTAGAAAACGTAAAACTCGATCAAAATCTAAAGAAAGTGATTATAGAAGGCATGGAAGTCGATCGATATCTTTAGAAAATACAAACAAAAGATCTAAAAAGCATAAAGCTAGGTCTGAGTCAAAAGAACTTGATAAGATTAAATGTTCTAGGAGTCTTACAAATTATAATATGTTGTTAAATGAAAAAGACTCTACAATACAATTTAAACCAGGAAATACTTATAAAAAAAAAAAAAAACATAAAAGTAAAAGAAATCGTTCTAAAAGTCCAAGAAGATCTTATAAGAATGATAAAAACAACGTTATTGAAGTTAGTGAAAACATTGATGCCAAAATATCAAATGATAATGATGTCATCCATCCCATCTACCAGTCTTAACATTTGTCGGTTAAAAATTGATTGGGTTTGCACCATAAAGTAATTAATTATGTTTTGCTGTCATTGCGCATTTTTATTGATTGAGAGTTATATCAATTATTTAATATGGTATTATGATTTTGTGTTTTCATTAAAACACAATTATTTAATTTTAGACATAATTTTTCAAAGAAAAATAAAATTTATTAATAAAAAAATTCTTTATTTGTAATAACGACAATCTATCTATTTAAAAATTGCAGTTTCACGTATGATTTTGAATCATTAAAACTTTTTTTAACTGAACATTGAATATAATTAATAATTTAAATATTGCACTGTATAAGTATATATTATTTTCTATTTGAAATGTGAGCCTTAAAAGTACACTGCAAGTATAATATGTAGTATACTACTATACTAGTTTTTTTTTCTTTAAATACACAAACTAGACATTTTTAATCAAATTGTCTTTGTAATCAGTACATAATGGTTTTAATTTTATCTTTGTTTTAGGAGCAAATTGAATTTGAATTCTGTATTGCATCTAATAAATTCAACTATGGTTCATCAAACATAATTACACAACCATTGTAGAACTGATAATATTATGTGTATACTAATCTACAGAGTTAGTATTAGACTATATCAATAACTCTAATCAAAAGTGACTAATACAGTGAAACTTTCATATAACAAAGTATAGGGAACAAAAAAATTATTGAAAAATAACAGAAAATTTGATCGTTTATGTCAATATTGGAACTGTAGTAAAAGTAACCGGCTTGCCTACCAATGTCTTATCTTTATCAGGTACAATACAAATGTAGGTATTTTAGAACAGTATTTATTATTTGATATTTGATAGTGACAACATTTACAAAAATTTGTTTGTTATCAAATAGGTAGTTTATTTGTTATATAGAAACGTCTTATTCGTCATACAGAAATAAATTTATGCATGGTTAATAATGAAAGTCATGGTTCTCAAAATTATTTTGTTGAACAGAAAATGTTGCTAAATGTAAGTTTGTTTTATGGAAGTTTCACTGTATATTGACAATTTATAAATTATACCTTATTAATATTCTATTGACATACATTTCCTGTAGACTAGTGTGATGTTTAGACAGTGCTTCAGACTGATTCAAATATTTTAACATGTTAAAATATTATGGTCTTTAAATAAACCAATTCATTACAGAAACATGGTCTCCACTATGTTTTTTTATACTTTGATCTATGTTAAATACCTAAATATGTCTATGTTGATGATAAAAATTAAAAACTCAATTTATATCTTAAGAAAATTAAATAATAGTAATATTGTATAGATAATGTAACAATAATTGTTACAATAGTAATACATTTATTTAATTCATTAAAAGCTCAATTTGATTTTTATGTTTAAACTATTAACTTTATTTAAAAAGTTTTTATTTTGATAAAAATCAAGAATATATTGTTAGTTTGAAATTTTTTTTGAAGACAAATAAATTAAAGATAAGTTCTTAGCTAAGGAAACAATTTTATTATTATATACGTACAATTTGTTTTCTAACGATAATATAAAAAAATATTTTTATTTATACTGAAATTGTTTACTCAATGTAAAATGTATTTTACACTAAAATTATCACACGGCGTTCTAGGTAGGCAATTTAGCTACACTTATGTCGTGGGTCCATTTTTCCGGTATCTCAGTCATAACTAATAATAAAATTAGAAAAATGAATGAGTGCGTTTGTACTTGTTATGTAAGGTGAAAATTGGAAGAAGTATAATATTTTTATTTTACATAAATCGAAATAAAAAATATACTTATTTCAATAAAATTATGTCTGACCGAATTTAATTTTGTAGGTACCTAACTAAAAATTAATTTTATACTAATAAAAAATACTTAAAATAAACCTACTTGTGTTATTGGTTCAATAACGTTAACGTGTTTTATAAAATGCAGATACTATTTAAGTATTTTTATCAATTTTTATTAGACCTTTTTAGTGATAACTTTACCATGGCCTGTTCAAGAAAATAATAGAATTTGAAAACAAAATATACACAATAGAGTCCATTATTATAACGATCTTTAAGGGATTTAGATAATCAGATCATTATATCCAGATGACAGAAACATAGTACACGTGAGTTATAATTTTATAAAACCAACCAATTACATGGCTAGAAATCGTTTTATCCGGAATATCGTTATATACCATATACGGCATCGTAATATGCTGATCCTACTGTAAATACGTCCACCGGGCACCGGCCTTGACCATAGCCCGCCTTTATATAGTTGTCTTCAATATGGCTTAGTGCAGTAGGTTTCAACCTTTTTATAATTGCGGCCCCCCATTTTCTATGTGTTTTTAATTGCGGCACATTCAAAAACATTTTTTTATTTATCAAAATTTAATTTAATTACCTAGGTGGCTAGGTACCGATAAAATATTTACGAAGTATAAAATTACGATTAGTTAACATTTAAAAATGTAATTAATTATAAAACATAAAATAGTTTTATAATATGCAAAACCATTATTTCGTTCATTATTTTTGGTGACGTTCAAACTATCATTCACGACCTCTTAGGTTGAAAACTACTGACTTAGTGTATGTGTATGTAATATGATACTATTTAGATATAATTAATAATATAAAAACTATAAGAATAATTTGTGAGTGTGTTGCATTAACAAATTTATCGGACCGTAAAAAATAGTTTTTCAAAGGAAACATTTAGAGGACTTCACACCCGCATGTGTTGTCTCCGTCTTACAAATGTACAACATAGCAAAAACTGTTTTGCGCAGGACAAATTTTCTCACACCATATTTGTTGTAGAACTACAACATTTTCACAACACGTAAAGAAAAACTTTATCTGTGCAACAGCGTGCTTTTTTTTTAATAATTATCCAATCATTTTTTATAAGCAAATTAATAAAACAAAAGAACCAAATAACTTATCGTATTTATGTTATCTAAATACAGGCACGCTGTTGCATAGATAATTTTCTAGCCTATATATTCAGAAATTTTACTACTACAAACACAGAAAGATAAAAGTTGTCCCGAGCAAAACCGGTTTTGCTATGCTGTACATTTGTAAGCCGGTGACAACACATGTGGGGGTGACATCCTCATAAAGAGTATTATTTTAAATATAGTATTCGGGATATTACCCTAAGGGGCATATTTATACATGTACTAGGTATCGGTATATACTATATATATATATAGTATTATATTATATGGTTATCAGTGTTATTGCATTTACTAATTGTCATGCTAAAATTGTATGGATTTTAAATAATGATAATGGAAAACAGTAATACAGTATACCTCCACGCTTGACCAGACTTGGGTCGGCCGAATTGTCTAACTGATAATAATGTATGTGACCCGGGGGCCATCTGGAACATTTTCATTTGCAGATAGGCAATGCCGTCCTCGCACGCGTGCGTACTTTTCACTTGTTCACATTTTATTGTACATTTTAGATTGTGAAAATAAAAATTTTGTTAAAAATAAAAACTCTCACTGGTGCTCAGCCCCTGGCTGTTTAGTGTTTGCCTACGATTGCCGCGCCACTTTTACTTATCATTCAGTGTCACCAACTGCTGGCGTGTTCAAAATTTCAAAACATATTGTTTTTTAAATAAAAATATTTATCTCCGATTTACACTTTAAGACACTGTAAATCCCGCAGACACTATAGACCATAAATCGTCAGGTTGGGTTTGCTCATTACAATCTATAGGTATACGTTTATAACAGACAACAGTCATATTCATTTACAGTCGGATAATATAAAATTATTATGTTGGTTGCCAGTGCCGTTCTAACTTTCATTGGCGACCTATGGCAATAATATTTGGCATCCCTATTAAATATACATTTTTAAAAATTTGCTGCCCTTTAAAATGTTAAAACGTTTGCCGCCATGGGGCACTTTCCCCATTTTCCACCCCCTTGGTACGGCTGGTATCATAGTATATAAAATATTATTATAATATTATCATTCAAAATTCAATCTTCATTCATACACCCCCCGATAACAAAAAATTACTCGATTAGCATATTTTACTAATGACACCTATAAACTGGTCATAGACAATTTAGAGAATAAAAAGCTATTAAAAACGTCGTATTATTTCCTTTTGTTAAAATACAATAATAATATTATTATGTTTGATAGTTATTAATTTATTATTATTACACATATCTTACATATAGGTTCGTACAATCCGCAACGTTTTATATCAATATAAAATCATAAACATATATTATACAGTATAGGTATACCTGCTAGGTAATGGGTATAGATTTTAATTATATATAATGTTATGTATTATAGAGGTACCATTTTAATTATTATCGATAAGACACCGACTGCAGCCATAAAATATGCGCTAATGTGAATAATGTAAACGCGAAGGGTCGGAATCGCCAAGTTCTAAAGGTGACCGCACTGACCGTATACAGCTGTTTATATTACAATATTTTAATATTAAATACACTCGTATTTCTTACGGACGTGTCCTATACGCCCAACGGTATAACTGCAGTCTTTGTTTGGCCGACGTTGAATTACAGAAACTACAGCGCCTTTATATTTTAATAAACGTATTTCCTTAAATATAAAAAGGGAAACTCGGTAAAAATTAATTAAAAGATCACTTTATTTTTGCGCCTTTTCGATTTTCATTGAACGACCTCAAAAATGCGTATGGTTGTATAAAACTACACTATAACATAAACTAATAGAGTGGAAAGGCGTGGGACACGGGCGCTCTTATCAATATTGTGTCGGTATAGGCGTTTAATCTATTCTGTGGTATATAGGTAGGTATATTATAATATATACACATCGGAGACGACCGCGACGACAATTGTATACGCGTGCGATTTTCACCATGAAACCGGACCGTATAAATGTAGATACAGGGTATTCTGTTTAACTGGCTACACTCATTTTCCTAGTCGAATCCGGGGGTTTTTTAGAAAAACCGT